CGCCCCGGGCGCCGGGCGACGAGGCCCCACCGGCGGGGACGTCCCAGCGCCGCAGAGCTCTGCGTCCTGAATCGTTGGTTCGCTGAGGCCCTGAGCAAGCCTCGACCAGAGGGCTCAGTTTACTCCTCCAGAAAACGGGACGAGCGGCGGAAGTGAGGGAGATACTAGGTAAAGCGCCTGGGTGCAGAGACCTCCTCCTCCTCGCTAGGATGGGGCCTCCGCCACCCCCAGGAGAGGGCTGATGGTCTGCGATCCCGGGGACGGCAAATTACACACGCAGGTGGGTGAAGTCTGCGGGTGCCTCGGGTCTCACAGTCCCCCAGTAGCCACCAGGGGAAGGGCCTCTCACTTATTCGAGGGCCCTGGGACAGAGGTGACTGGTTCTGGGGTCTTTTGATGGGCCTGTGTCCGTCCCCTTCCACAAGCGTTCAGGGCTGGCGGGCAGCTCTGGTCAGCAGCCAGTGTTGGGGGGGCTGCATCCTTTGTGGCCTCAGTCTCCCCGTTTCCAGGAGAATCCTTGGCCAGATCTCCCTCGCACACACCTGTCCCAGGTCTGCCATTCCAGGCTGGTAGCAGGCTGCCTGGCACCTCTGCCTCCCTGTCCCTCTGCCTGTGGTGCCCACACTCCCCCTCACCCGCCTCACAGGAGCCATTTAGGACAGAAGAGGCCTGGGGCGGGAAGGCCCCCGGGGCTGCAGTGCAGACCGTCTTCCACACGCTCCCGGAGGCTTGGGTCTCTCCTGGTGGCAAGCAGGGAGCAGGTCCTCCCTCTCGGACACTCGCCCCTTCCTTATCTTCACCACACGAGAGAGGTTTTCAGAAGTTCACGAAGTGGGTGTTAGGAGAAAGCTATGCGTGGATTTCCAAAGTTTTCGCACTAAAATAAACTCATACTTGAACTCCATTTCCCATGAACTTTTTGAAGTGCCCACAACAGGATCCGACAGGAAACCTGAAGCCTCCACCCCACCCCAGGACTCTGCCTTCAGACTTCCCTCTGCAGGCCAGGCAGTCTTTACTGATCCTGGCCTGTTTATTCTGGGAGGGCCTCGCACCGCCGACCTGCAGAGCCCCGCTGAGCATCGCAGACGCCTGTGCCCTCTCCAGCCACACGTGGCCTTGAACCCTGAACAAACTGTTTGCTCACCTCCCAGGACAGAAGCTCCTCACCTCCCCTGCACAGCCTGGTCCACGAGGCCCAGGCCCATCTCCCTGACAGTCTCCGATGCCCTCCCCCAGGATCTCCTGTTCTGTGAGTCCTGTGCCCGCACTGGGGGGTGCAGGGACACAGAGAAAGCGCTCCCTTGTGGAGCATGCGTTTCGTGAGCAGGCACACGGGGACACCGGGTGCAGGTGGTGAGAGCACCTGGAAGAAACTGAGGCAGGGAAGGAGCCTGTGAAGGCCTTTGCAGAGAAGGTGGTCAGGGCAGGTCTGTCTGAGGAGGCAACATCTGAGTGGAGGCCTGAATGGAACGAGGGAGCTGGCCAGAGGGAGGACAGCATTCTAGACAGAAGAGAGCGTGCAAAAGCCCTGAGGTGCAAGCTTAGTGTGCTGGAGGACAGCGAGGAGGCCAGTGTGGCTGGAGTGGAGGGAGCGAGGTGGGGTGAGGATAGAGGAGGCAGCCAGAGGGGTGGGACTCTAACCCAGGTTTGCCAGTCACTTGAGCCAAGCACACAGATTCTCCAGGGACGGGCAAGAAGTGGGTTTGCCAGCTACCCCTGCAGCGCAATCAGAGGCGCACAACCTGAAGACGGGCCTGGCATACGTGTTGGTGTGGCAGACCATGTGGACAGGGGAGGGCGTCGCCGCCACTCCAGGAGGAGGAGCGGGGGCTGTCCCCTGCCTGCTGCCCCGGCACACTCAGGTCAGCAGGTTCTCATGTCCCTGGCCGGTCATGGATGGCACAGGAGCACAGGCTGCCTTTGTGCACTTGCAGGTGCCCCGGGGCACGAGTGTGCGCATTTTCCTGGAATGGAACGGGCGATGCTGCTGCGGCCCGGCACACCTCCCCGCGGACAAGCAGGAAATGAAGGCTCAGAGCGGGTCAAGGAGGAAACGAAAGCTCAGAGGGAGGCCAAGTGCCCACTGCCCCAGAGACACCCATGCAGTGTCTGGGACTGGAACCCAGTTTGACCCCAGAGCCTGCTCCTGAGCCCCAGCCTGCCAGGGCCCGCAGAGAGCTGACTCCAGCCGGCCCTGCCTGCCCGCGCTCAGGTGGTGTGCAGAGACCAGAGCAGGATGGAGAAGTGGAGGGGAGGGGATTTCAGCATGACCGTGTTCCACTGGGAGGTGCTTGCTCTCTCCATCTCTCTCTGTCTCCCTGTCTCTTTCTGATGAGAGCAGGCACCCTCTGGCAAGTTAAAACAAATACCAACATTGAGCGTTTCTTGGTATCCTAACGTTCACTTTCGGGTTAGCTCCCTCAGCTGGTTTGTTTGAAATGTTTTTCCCCCTCAGGAAAAGATCATTTACAGCTGTCATTTGCCCTGTCATGCATCCCATTTCCTCACAGCATCGCCTGCCCTGGGTTTTATGGTTTTTCTGTACTCCTGGTTGCTTTGCTTGTTCCGAGCTGTGTGACCGCGGCCTGCAAGGCACCTGCATTTGCAAGGCCTAGGCTGTAGCAATGCACTGGTGCAGTGAGCAGTCAGCCATGAGGTTCCGAGGGCCCCTCCACACTGCTTCTCCTCGTCCAGCTGGTGGGAAGCAGCCCCTGCTGGCCTGGCCTCCCTGCTCCTCAGTGAAGAGGGCCAGCTGCCCTGCCTGCACAGGGGCAAGGTGACAGTTCCGAGATTCCGTCCAGCTCGTCTCTTGTCTTTAATGGAAGCAAAGCACAGGGAGCTTGCTCCCCAAAGGTGAGGCCTGGGAAAAAGGGGGCTCCCATGCTAGACTCAGAACCACCACAGAGGGGCTGCTCAGAACTTGGAACCACAGCCCGGAACAACCTAGAACTTCCAGCATGGGTTCTTTGGATCACTGCAGCCAACACGCACTGGGTCAGTGCCCGACGCGGTGACAGTCACACTGACTGGCACTGGTTGAGGGCTACTGTGGACCACGCCCTGCCTAAGCCTTGACCCGGATTAGCTCGGCACAACCCCAGGCAGCTGCCCGTAGTACGCCCCCGCTGTACGCGGGGACATAAGGGCAGAGACATCAAGCCATTCTCCAAGAGCTCCTAGCAGGGCTGGGTGCAAGGACTCCCCAGGCCCCACCATACAGACACAGGAACACGGGGACCTGGAGCCCTGGGAGGGGCAGCTGGGTAGCGGGACAAGGGCACAGCTTGAACGGGGATGGCTGCGTGGACAGGCCCCAAGATGGCAGCATATCTATACGGAGTGACTGCAGAGTCCCTGCCCTCTCAGCAGGATCCCCGAATCCTCGTGGCGGTGATGACAATGATAATTTGTTCAGTTTATTTCTTCCATAAGAGAGAGAGTCAGAGGAAGACAGAGACTGAGGGCCGGCACCCCAGCCTCAGCCAGCCCAGATCGAGCACACGCGTCTGGGTGTCAGGCCGCTCTCTGTCCCTGCAACCTTCTCGTGGGGCGGTCCTCACAGAGCGTGGCACCTCGGCCCCAGAAGGCCCTGAGCCCTCTTACAAGGCTCTCCCCTCCCCGCCCCTGCATGACCACTTCTGTGGTGGCCTGCCAGTTCCCAGGGTCAGAGGGCACATCCACACTTCCTCTGGCCAGTGCGGCAGCTCTGCCTTGGGCCAGACCTGCCAGCAGGCAAAGTCCAGGCCCAGGCCCCTGCCCGGAGGACGCTGCCTGGGGCTGCCCGGGTCACTCGCGAGCTCGTGTCCAGCTGAGTGACTGCGGCAGGAGGAAATCCCGGCCGCCTGCCCGCCCATTCCAGGACCCGTTCCCAGTGCCCTCCTCCTGCTCCCACAATTCACAGCCGTAAGGGGCTGGGGGCCTTCGGCTCTCTGCTGCCCTAGGGTGGGGCAGGCCGGATCTGATAGGAGAGGCCTCACCCAGGCTCCCTCGCTGAAGGGCCCTGGACATGGCTGAAGGCTCTGAGCAGACAGGCGATGTCACAGGAGGGGTGGGTTTGGCAAACCCTGCAGACCTTCAGCGCCACACCAGACTAGGAACTTTACCTGGAGGCACTGGGGAGCTACGGATGGTTTGAGACCCAGGGGTTGTGTGCAGGGAGCTGGACAACGACCAGTCTAGAGCGATTTCCACACAGAAGCCGTGTTTGCTGGGACTTGAGAACAGAGACCTGAAGGGCCCTGGGCAGAGGTGGATGGCAGAGTGGGCCTAGACGTGCCTCCCCCTCACTGGGGCTGGCCTGGGCCAGAACACAGCAGACACACCTAGCCAGCAGGGCTGCCCACTGAGGGGTAGGGCATGCGGGGGACATCAGGGCTGGAAGAGCCCTAGAATGCCGCTCAGTGAGGTGGTGCACGGCGGGGACAGGAGAGCCAGGAGGGCTTCCCGGGGGCAACTGTGACCAGACCTTGGCAGACTACATGGCATCTGACAAAGAGCAGGCATGCAGGGACCCAGGCAGCAGAAAGAACACAAATTGTGTCACCAGAGATTTCGTGTGGGGACACATTCGGAGAGACCCTGAGGTGTGGGGACACATTCGGAGAGAGATCCTGAGGTGTGGGGACACATTCGGAGAGAGACCCTGAGGTGTGGGACACATTCGGAGAGAGACCCTGAGGTTGGGGGGACACATTCGGAGAGAGACCCTGAGGTGTGGGGACACATTCGGAGAGAGACCCTGAGGTTGGGGACACATTCGGAGAGAGACCCTGAGGTTGGGGACGTGCTCTGAACAAGCACCACCTGTTTTTTGTTTTTGGAGAGGTTTTTGCCATAGGGTGTGTGCACTCGCCAGACAGAGACAGAGAGACAGACAGAAAGCGAGAAATCACCCCCCAGGAGGGATGGTCACGCCGCAATCCCTTCTCCTCCATTCTCCTCTCGGGATCTTGGGCATGCACACACACGCGCCCGGCGTGAGTTTAAGCCACCGGGTCTGGGACACAAACTGCGGTCGACTACATGGGAGTCCAGCGACATAGCCATTATGCCAACTGCTGGTCCCAACACCATCTGTCCCTTTGGGCTTTGGCAGAACCTTGTAACTTGCCCTTTCCTTGACTCTCACTGCAGACAGAGCAAAGGGTGGAAGTTGCTAGGGGTGTTCCAAGAGACACGTCTGATGGACTTCAGGAGACATCTTGCCCAGTTAGCAAAGCCCAATCCCTGCTGTGCATCTGAAAGGCTCTCCAGCCTTCTCTGGGTGTGGTGGTGCCTCCTTAGGAGAGATTCTTTGGCCTTAAACTGGGTGTCTCTCCATTAGGAGAGATAATGGGACTTTCTCTTGGTGGATCATCAGCACGGGATGCACCTGGCCCAGCGTGACTAAGCCCTCATAGGTTCATTACCTGCTTCTTACTGTCTGTGACCTGGAACCAGTCCGTGGAGTGTCGTGAAACACACACGTGTCGTGTCTCCCTGTACTATAAATAAAGACGCCCGGTTTGTCGGAAGTCTTGGGCCACCTAGGCTCAGGCCGCCTGTGTCCATTTCTGCTCTGTCTTTGTCTCATTCTTTCCAGTTCCTCCTTAGATAGAACCAAGCCTGAGGGCGGACTCCGACAATTTCGGGCTCCCCTGGGCCCCAGAGTGAGCCCTCAGCAGGGCCCAGGCCCCCCAGGGGTGGACGTAGAGACCCCCCTCCTGACCCGGCCAGAGTTTGTCTCCACTGGCGGCTGCTGCACTTGTGAACTTGTGCAAGGCCCGATAGAGTAATCCTCAGCAGGAGGCGAGGCCCACCAAGGGCTTAATGCTAATCCCTGACATGTGTTCAGCTCCGTCCCTCCCTCTGCCCAGCCTCAAGGGACCCCAAATAGAGCAAGAAAAAGAGGCCCTGGGCAGCGGGCGGTGGAAGTGCCCCCTGCGGAGGCTCCAGGCTGACAACCTGAGACCTCCCTGAGTAGGCCGGGCTGCGTGTGCTGTGGTCCGGGGCGCTCTGCCCGGCTTTCTCTCTCAGTCTCTCTCCTGCTCATGGAAGAAACAAACTTAAAAACAAGAAAAAAAAGAAAGGAGAAACCAGGAGGTGGTGTGGAGGTTATGTCCCTGGACTCCTACATGGCCGACCACGGCTCAAGTCCCGAACCTGACGGCCTGAAACTCACACCGGGTATGTGTGCACACGTGCCCAAAGTCCTGAGAAGGACGGAGGAGAAGGGACTGTGGCGCCCTCCCTGGCATGGCATCCTCCTGGGAGTGATTTCTCACTTTCTTTCTCTCTCTCTGCCTTTCTGGCAAGCACATGCGTCTTGTAGCAAAAATTAAAGAATAAAAAAAAGAAATGTAATAAAAAGAAAAGGAGGCCCCGGAGGAGACAGCTCGTCTAAGGTGCTGGTGCAGAGGAAGACTCGAGCCCAGGGCACTGCAGCGGGCAGAGCTGTGCACAGAACAAGGCACTCCAGACCCACTCATGTGACGCAGGGTTTGGCCGAGGCCAGGGGCAGGGCAGGCTGGGGCTCGAGGTCCTTGGCCAGCTCCCCACTGCCAGTTCCTGGTCTCATGACTTCAACGCTGCTCTGGGCTGGACAAGAGAGTGGGCCTCCTCCCAGACCCCCGGCTTAGCCCCACGTGCAGCATCCTCCCCTCAGCCTCCACTCCAGTCCTAGAAGCCTAGTGGTTAGGAGTTCAGAGTGCAGGCTCTGAAATCCATGGCCTGGGTTTGAATCCTGGCTCTGCCATGACCTGGCCGTGTGACCTTGAGCAAGTCACTTACCCTCTCTGTTCCTGGTCCTCATCTATAAAATGAAGAGCATAAATCTACTCACTTGGGACTGTCGGGAGGATTAAGATCATCCACGCTGCTAAGGACGAAGGTCCCGCTCCTGTAAGGAGCCCCCAAGCCCCACCGGCAGCAAGAGCTTCCAGCACACAACCCAGCTACGGCTCAGGCCCTCGCCCCAGGCCTCCCACCCCGCCACCCACGTCCAGCCCAGGTGCCCACCGTGGCACTCAGGACTGCCTGGCCTGCCTCTCCACCCTCACGCCTCTCGGGCCCAGCCGCCCACTCCCAGCTCACCTCTCTCCAGACCTCCCTGAACCTGCCCAGCTCCAGCCGGCAGAAGCCCAGAAGCAGCAAGCCCCCTGCTCGGCCCTGTGGGAGCTGGCGCCTCAACCCCCACACCACCGGCTGGCCCCTCGCATTTGTAAAAAGTAGACAGGACCGGGACCAGCACTTGGCGTAATGGCTATGTCGCTGGATTCCCACGTAGTTGACCGCGGTGCGCGTCCCAGACCCGGTGGCTTAAAACTCACGCCAGGCCCGTGTGCGTGCGTGCCCAAGATCCCAAGAGGAGAATGGAGGAGAAGGGATTGCGGTGCGACCATCCACCCTGGGGGCTGATTTCTCGCTTTCTGTCTCTCTGTCTCTCTCTGTCTGTCTGGCGAGTGCACGCGCCCTATAGAGAAAACCTCTCAAAAAAAAAAAGTAGACAGGACCAGCCCGTGGTGGGTGGGGCGGCCGGATCCCATATGGCCAACTGCAAGGTTCAAGTCCTGGACCTGGTGGCTTGAGAGATACTCCAGGGGCGTGTGTGTGCCCCAAATCCCTCGAGAATGGAGAAGGGGTTGTGGCGTGGGCATCCCCGCTTGGGTGATTTCTCACGCTCCCTCTCTCTGACTCTCTCCAGCAATTGTACACACTCTGACAAATAATCATTTAAATAAAAAAAAGCAGATGAAGAGTGCAGCCATGTATGTACACACAGAAAATAACCCCTCACGTTTTCTTCCTTTTGCTCTTCTGCCTGCCTGCCTGCCTTTCTTCCTTCCTTCTTTCTTTCTTTTTGGCCATAGGCCATGTGCACTCACCAGAGACAGCGAGAGGGAAAGCGAGGAATCACCCCAGAGGGGATGGTCACGCCGCAATCCCTTCTCCTTCACTCTCTTCCCAGGATCTTGGGCACGCACGCACACGCACCCAGCATGATTTTCATGCCACCAGGTCTAGGGCTTGAACCACAGTCGAACATATGGGAGTCCAGTGCCTTAACCACAATGCCACCTGCTAGTCCCAACTCACCTGTCTTTCTAATTATTCTACAATGAAAAAAGCTGCCTTATATAATTGGGTAAGAGAAAAGGAAGTTTAAATAAAAACTGAGAACCCTTCCCCCACAGTTTGCGAACTTCAGATCCCCAGGGGCCTAGTCTGACCCCCAGGTCCTCCCACCATGGCTGCCCAAAGCCTGGCCCTCAGGTCTCAGAAGGTGCCATTTCTACCAGAGCCAGTGAGACAGGTCATGCCAGACCTTGGGCCTGGACATGCCTCGGGTTCAAGCGTCCCAACCATTCTAACAAGGGAGAGTTTGCACCCCCTTTTCCGAAAGGGAAACAGGCTCAGAGAGTGAGAAAGCTTGCGCAGGATGGCAGAGGGAGAGTGGTGTTCCCATTTTAGTCCTGACCCCAAAGCCCGTGTCCACCTAGCCTGGTCACGGCTCCCCTCAGCCTGCACCCATGAGGCCCAGTGCTAGGGAACTAGGAGCTGAAGCACGCCCTGGCCTCCCTAGGGCTTAGAGTTTCAGGGCGCATCGCCCAGAACACAGGGGAGAACCCTGAGCCAGGGCTAGGGGAGGCTGGTTTAGAGAAAACCCCACGCCGGGCTTCTCCTCTGGGGTCCTCCCTAGCCCGGTCCTGGGGTGGGCAGGCGCCAGCTTGCTAACCCGAAAGGCACAGAAGGGCAGTGGGGGTGGCTCCCGCACGTCCGTTTTGCCAGCCCTGGCGTGACCGGGGGCTTTGTGGACGTGGCCATCCAGGCTAAGAGCTCAGAGTTGTCCGGGTTCTGGGACTCATATTCCCCAACTGTATATGACTCGGCCAGCGCTGCTAAAACGCCGGAGGATAAGGTGCCGGGTTCGGTTTGCCCTGCCCACAAAGTAGAAGCAACAGCCCCCAGCTGGCGCCTGCTGGCCCCAGACCCCCTTCCCTGTGAAAAGAAAAACGTATCAGGGATTATTTTCTGTGTGTGCGTGTGTGTCTGTGTGTGCATATGTGTGTGTACATATATGTTTTGGGGGTGGCTGCACACTCTTCATCTGCTTATATATATATAATTTACCAGAGTTCGTGCACACTCACAGTGAAAGGGAAAGTGAGAAACTACCCCTAGGAAGATGGTCACCCTGTAATCCCTTCTCCATTCTCTAGGGATTTGCAGCACGCACACGCTCCTGGCGTTTCTCAAGCCGCCTGTTCCAGGACTAGAACCTCGCAGTCGGTGGGATCCAGCCGCCCCAACCACCCAAGCGCTGGTCCCATCCACTTTTTACAGATAACTTGAGGGGCCAGCCGGTGGTACGGTTGAGATGGGGGGGTTGAGGAGGTGGCGGGGGGTGCCCCGGAACCGGACTGGGCTGGATGCTTTTGGCGCATTGAAGGGCTGGCCCCGCGGGGTAGCGCCCTGCAGGGACCGCGAGCGGGGACTGCATGGAAAACACAGGGCACGCGGGCAGCCGGGATCCTCGAGCTTTGTCTCTTATTTAACCCCAACTCCTCAACCTTAGGCCCCGGCCAGGCCTTTGCTCTTGCCTTGCCCTCAGCCTGGAAAACCTCTCTCCCTGCTGGTCCTAGGACTCTGAAGTCGGCGCAGAGAGCCCTCCCCTGACCGCTCCACGCGAACGAACCGCACCTCTGCCCCACCCCAAGGTTCAGCTACGCTTCTCTTTGCGGGGACTTTTGTGCCCCCAAGGGGGGAGCGCAGGGTGTGTGACCCCTCAGTGCCTAGGACGGCACCTGCTATTCAG